CCCCCCTCCCCTCCTCTCTCTCTCTCTCTCTCTCTCTCTCTATATATATATATATATATATATATATATATATATAGTAATTAATACACATGAAATCTGCAAACTTAAAATTACACGTTGGAAATTGTACCCTCTGACACCACATATCGATTCGCATTGCAAAGGTCGTTGTATCATGACGAATAATTGACGTGTCGTTCCTATCGGTCATATATGTGTATATGTATTACCTACGTGGTGACTATTCGAGGTACGTCTCTCACGGACGGAATGAGTAGAGCCACTTGAGTCGCGACTCACTACACAATTACGTGGTGAAGAGGGGCTGTAGGGTGCCACGCCACATCATGCGGTCGTGTCTTGATCGGTGTGACGAGTATGTTTCCTATGGTCGGTTGCACAGTGAGTCCACCCCTGGAAAACACAAGGGTGTGGTGTCAACTGAAAACTGGGTCCCGCACAAAGTCTTGGGTGGCACCGAACCCTGGATAATCCCGGGGCTGATTCAGTCTTTTGGACAGACTTCTTGGGCGTGGTAAGAAGAGTTCGCCGTGCTGTGCCCTTAAGGGCTCAGAGAGAAACCCAAACCGATCGGGTCCGGTTTTGATGTGAGACGGCGGCGAAGACCGGAAGACGGCTGTAGTATATGAGGTCCGACAGCTGAAACCCTACAGTTAGAACGAAAACCTGAGGAATGGGAAAGCGCGGGAAGAAGCACCGGGAGCCGCAAGGACGTCGGGGTGGCGACGCTAGTGACGAGGAGGACATCTTGCCCTCCTCAGCTTACGACGTCCCGCCGCCGACCAACGATCGAGAACACCAAGAGAGCGAATCGGGAGAAGAAGAAGATGATGATGGAGGAAGAGCGTGGGCGGCGGCTGCTCCGTCCAAATTCCATCTCTATCAGCTGTCGGTCCAGGTGAAATCAAACCTCTATTATCCGGGAAAGCTTTCTGGTTAGGGTTTATGGGTTCTATTAAAGTTGGATTTCTTTTATCTTTGATGATGATGTGTCGGAGCAGTCGCCCAAGGGAGATATCAGTTACATGCAAAAGTTCTTCTTGATGTATGTCGGTGGGCGGTTTCCGCTCCATTTGCAAGAAGATTTCTGCGGCACTGCCCTTCTGAGGTATAAATGCAAATATTTGTGTTCGAAACTTGTTGTCTTTTTTCCTCTTTTTGGTTCTTCGGTGCCACTGAAATTTGGTTAGGTTCAAAGGTGTATAGTTGCTCTTGTAGCAATGTTCTTTGGTGACAGGATTTGATTTTGGGAAGCAAACAAGTGAAAATTTTCTATCAGAATCTTGAATCGATGTGAATAATGTACAGTTAAGTTAGAACTTAATGAAGAAATCCACCTTTCATTAGTTACTTCGGTGGCCCATCTGTCAGAGAATTCCTGCATCTTTTTAGGAGGTTTAGTGAATCCAAGTGTAGTAGTTTCTGTAGGAGCCCGGCTATAACCGAGAGAAGTAATCTGTAGCTGGAAGTTAATTTATGTTTCTAATCCTACCAATGAAAATAAGGTAAAAAATTATTTGGCTTGTTTTTCTACATCATCATCTGGATACAAAAGAGACAACAGGCATGAACAATTGCAAGAGGTGATGAGAATTCTTCATCTTGATATATTCTAAGCCACTTGGATTTCACTGAGATTGTTGTGGATTTCACTCTTCATACAAATATCCTACTCATGTTGCTTGCTCAAAATTTGATATCTATATTTCTGGAGTAGTGCTTATAAGATGTAGGTGGCCCATTTTTGCTACCACTTGGTAATTGTTCTTGAATAGAGTCTTGTTTCCTTGTTTGATGCTCCTAATTTTCAGTTCATTTGCTTTGGAAGTTTCGGAGGACAAGCTTTATGCCATTGTTCTTTTGATGTGATTAACTTAGAACCATCAAGTAAGAGTCGATTAATGAAGTTTGAATTAATGATCATTGTAGAAATAGATGAGGAAGGCAACATCAATTATTAAATTCATTAGAATAATGATTTACAAAATATAACACCAAAGATAGTTGGATAACAAATACAAGAAGTGCTCTTGAGGTCACTGTACACATTTAGTATATTTCTTTACTTCCTTTCACCTTTTCTTGTATATTTTTGAATCACTAACAAATTTGGCATCTAAATTTGTTGGTGTTATTATTGTTGTCTATAAAATAGAATGAAATTGTTCAGCTATTAGATTCTCCTTATTTTTATCTGTTAGATTCTTATCTGCTGACTTTGATGAAAAATTTTGCTTTCCTTCCTGTATTTGGCAGTTGTGAGTGGCTCCGCAGTGACCCAAGACGAACTGCAATTGGTGTTGATTTGGACCTTGAAGCACTTAACTGGTGCTTGGAGAACAATCTAAATAAGGTTGGAGGTGATGGGTGTTCTAGGATCTCTCTTCTCCACGGTAATGTGTTGTGCCCTCAGGAAGCTTGCCTTGTGAAACACCAAGTTGAAGATCTTGTGAAAGATCTAGCTTTATCTGACAAAAATGGTGCTTCAGAATCTGTCACAACAAATGAGAGAGATGATTCTGAAGTTCAAGGATGCTTCACCTATGCATCCGTCAAAATTGATGCACTGCCAAATAGAGACATTGTCTGTGCATTCAATTACAGCTGTTGTTGCCTCCAAAAGCGCAAAGACTTAGTTTTGTACTTCAAGCATGCTTTTAATGCACTATCGAAGAAGGGTGGCATTTTTGTGATGGATCTATATGGAGGCGTGTCATCAGAGTGCAAGTTGCATCTTCGTAGAAGGTTCTCTAACTTTACAGTAAGTTCTGTTCTTGATGTCATCAGAAGCATATTTTTTGTGGGTGTACCTGCATCATGAGAATTACCTTATGCATGACCAAACTATGCTCTACAAAAGGAGGTTTGGCTAGTAAGTAAGCAGAATTTGCAGATATCTGAATCTCCTATTTGGGACACCTAATAACAAGCTGATCTTGACCTTGTGTTGCTTGTTCCTTCATGCAATAGAAATTGATGAGAACTTAATCGATGTTGCCTTTAAAATGGTTGGATGAGAATGTAATTGACATGGAAGTTGTTTGGAACAAAATGCAGTTTAACGTTGTCTCAGTGATTGTGTCTTGACTTACAAAAGTATTAAAGGAACTAAACTTTTGCAATTCTATATCAAAATTTTGGCTTATAGTCGCTATAAATTTTTTGATGACACTCAAAGTTTGAGCTTATCTCCTTTCTATGTGGCTTACGTATTTTGTTGTGATTGCAGTATGTATGGGAGCAAGCAGAATTTGATATCATAAACCGCAGGACAAAAATTAGCCTCCACTTTCATCTTGGAAAGCAACAGATAATACGGCATGCATTTTCATATGACTGGCGCTTGTAAGTTTCATCTTTGATATCCAACCAATAAATCATGATGTTTTCTATGCATCTATGCTGCTATTGTTATTCTTGGTCTTTTTTTTAGCAGCATTATTGCTTGGATAATATTTCTTTTGCAAGTTCCGATCTGCTGCTACAAAATGGTTGTCACAGAAACATCTTATCCTTAATCTTGATCTGGCTTCATGCCCTTTTTTTTTTGCAAGAAAACAAAGTAGCTTAACTTAATCAAACCAAGGGTTGGAACACCATTCACATCACTTCATGACCAAATTTATGCAATTAACTTCTCCACACTTCATGTGGACATGTACCATAGGTGCATGAGAAAACTACAGGCAAACACAGTTTGATAACATGTTAATGCTCCAACTTGAACTAAATGCAAGGCTTCAAGCACTTGCACACAAGAGATATCTGAAGCTTCAGCCATGACTCATCAAATTTGCTTTTCATAAAGCACCTCATTCCAACGTGCAAACTGTATTTGATAGTTTTATTTTAAACATTATGGTTAAAATCCATTTTTCGCTGCTTAAGAAACAGATATGAGAGTTGAAGTGGTCAAATTCTCTGTCTTTACAGGTGGTCACTACCAGAAATCAAGGATTGCTTGGAGGAGGCTGGATTCCAATCCATACATGTTTGGATCCGAAAAATGCCAGACACCACGGACAATCAGAACTCGGAGGAATTTACCGTCAGCCGAGATGTCAAGTACGAAATGGTGGCATCCTTCCAGCAACAAGATGCATGGAATGCATATATTGTTAGTGTAGCAAACGTTTAAATGATGTTTCACTATGCTTCATGTTTCATCAGGACAAGGTCCTATGCATGATAGCATTCGCTCTGATGGTTTTGTTCGTGAGTGATCAATTAAATACACCAGAAGGTTTCCTATTACTTCCTATAGACACGATCAAATGGTTTAGGAAGGTATTAGATAAACTTCCAGTACTCGGTCGAGCCTAGGAATCCTAAAACCACTTTAGAATGTGAGAATGAGTCATCTGGTTTCACTCGGGTTGGGATTATAAGCTTCCTCATCAAAACTCTCCTGATAATGAGCACTGGGTTGGTGTTGCAATCAAGTTTTCCAATGACATTTGATATTGAATTTTTTTAGGTAATAATCAGAATTTAGCAGGTATTTTAGACCAATTTTGGCTACTTGAAGCTTTATGTTGCTACTAGATCCACCATGATCAAGTTAGAAGGGGTGATGTTTGAGCTTTTGATGTTTGAGCTTTTCTTTTGCAATGTTTTGTGTCATATTTGTGTAGTTGTGGCATATTTCTGTTGACGTGTTTGGTAGACTTTCTGCTCCTACTCTTTCTTTCGTGGCTTAGTCTCAAAAGAGCCAAATGGGTTTCTTGGCTTTCATGGCTTCTGTAAAAAGACGAATCAAAGCAGCAGGTGCTATAGCTTGCCCTCATGAATTTTGGAAATGGTGTTGTTTTACCGAAAAATGTTTTTTTTTTTAATGTTTCTAAATCTTTTAGTCGTTTACATGAAATGATTTGTGGATTTATGCCTCGACTTAAAGTTACATATATTTTAAAATGTTTATTCATTCAGGTCAATATAGCTCAGTCTGTCCAACAAAGATGAAACACGCAAAGCCGAGGAAGGAGAGAGTGGTTTGTTCAAGGTCTCGATCACCAATGGTGATAAAAAGGTGGTAAGAAGTATCGTGGACTACCCAAACTTGATATGTGACACCAAAACTTTAAGCCTTGGTTTTGCCAGTGTTACGCCTCTAATAAACCTTAGGATTGCTAGTGAACTACTGTGACGAGATTTCGACATGTGCACCACGCATTAAAATTGGGAAAGGCCACATCATCCAACAACAGTAAATGAACATGGAAGATTACAATGATGCCCCTTTTTGTTCATTTGCATATTAAACATCTGCTTGCATCCACCATCAGATCAACTAAAAAGGAATAGAAAAGGAGTTTTATTTACCGACCCCCGAGAAATATCTTTTACTTGGGGTTGCGTCTGCCACTTTGGAGCGAAAAAAGGCCAACTGAAATATGCATGTTTCTTTCTGTCTTTCTTTTCTTCTGTCGCACTGTTTTACTCTCGTATTCTCCACTGTCAACAAAGAAATGTCGATACATACCCGAAAATAAGCACGGGATCATAGATGAGTGACGGGGTCATACATTGCTTTGATTTATTTGCCTTTTGGTTCAAAGGATTAAGCCAACAAACTGCTGCTGTCGACCACTTACTCATTCCAATACAACTCCAAATTTACTCAGCTCGGAAACCACAAAAGGTAACCAAGATTAGATAATTACGCTACTTCAGTAACACTTCATTCCAATTGACTGCTCAATGGAGCATCAGCAACCATATCCAGCTCCTGTTCAACCCCTTTGACCTGCAGTCGACATTTTAACACAAGAACAGGTTTATTTTAGCAAATATTTGATACTCTGAGACATGGCAAAGTAGAACTCAAAGACTAAATCATATGTTCGGTTCTATTCTAAGCAACTGGACGAATAGTGCATATGTTGCCTATAAGATCTCAGATGCAGACATGTCTTGTGCAGCAATCGGTCAACCACTATTTCCATATGCCCACACAACGAAAACAGAGTGTTATAGTATATTACTAAAGACATTATAAGCCAGTTTATTTAGAGATTACCAAGCACCATAAATCGATATCTTAGAAATAAAATTTAACAACAAAAGAAATTGATAGCAACATCTAATAGATCTATGGTGTTTCTGAACAACCAATATGGCACTGTTATGTACTAGTATCTGATTCAATAAAGCTAGCTCATTCTTAAAACTTCTTGGGATGAGAGATTGCCTCCAAAGATCTCAAATTTGAAAAGAAATTTTTCTGCCTCATCCTAGAATATAAAATAAACAACCATACATCTTAATATTACCTCTGGCACATAATGCATGAGCATGTTCTCAATGCCTGACTTCAAAGTCACAGATGAGCTCGGGCAGCCGCTGCAGGCACCTTGCATTCTTAGCTTGACTATCCCAGTTTCACTGAAAAGTAAACATCAAGTAATATTAGGTCACTGCTGAATTAACAGGATGTGAAACTCTAGTTTATATCTGATGAGAATGAACGGGAGAGAAGAGCCATACGGATCAAATCCACAGTATTCGATATCCCCACCATCATCTTGCACTGCAGGTCGAATTCGTGTCTCTAACAATTCTTTGATCATCGCAACAATCTCTGAATCATCCTACAAAATATTATTTAGTTTCAGAAGGCCACAAAGTACAGCAAACTGATCATATAATAAGTTCCAAGATGCAAACATTCAAATTAAACTAACAATATTGAAGTTCACTATAATCCCAATACTGAACTCTACTTCCAGGATAGAGACCTAATATGCACTGAGCTGAACTTTTTTCTCCTCATGGAGAAAAGCTACTGGAAGCCAGCAGGTTCTAAATCTATGAACCTCTATTGAAATTACACCATGAACTTATCAATTCATTTACTTGTCCAGGATATTTGTTTTTCAATTACAACCAATCTTAAGACTAGTTCAACTAGATTCTTTTAGTCCAAAAAGAACCAAAATGAAATTTGCATGAAAATTCTGGTCATCGCATACAATCAAGTTTCTATAACTGTTATGATAAAAAAAATCTGTAACAAGAGAGTATAAACCTCATGAATTGCTGTGTCCATAGAAGCTGCAACATTTGACTCGAGGAAAAGTGGTTTCCCAGATGAATAAAAGTCCATTATTGCAGCAAAAATTTCAGGCTTCAGAAAATCCCATGAAGCATCTTCTGACTTTGTTACAGTGACAAAGTCTGATCCAAAGAATACCCTTGTGACTCCTGCGTTACCCATAGTTTCATAAAATTTCAGCATGTCCAATTGTAACACACTCAGTATTCATACCAAGTGTAATGCACTCAGTATTTTGTAAGAGAGATGGAACAGTACTAGTAAGCATATAGATTAAAAAGCCAGCAAGATACGGACATGTGGATCCAATATTGAAGGAACTTAAGCATAATAAAACCTTTTTTTTTCATGACTCCTTCCAAAACTTAATAGAAGATGATTCTTAGTGCCATAATAAGGTTGCCCTTTTGTGTTCTATATAACCAGAGTTCTAACAATGGAAACAACCTTTCTACTTGCAAGGGTAAGATTGGGCACATTGTTCTTCTCAGATCTCATATTGGCAGAAGCCTTGTGAATTGGCAAACTTTATAAAAACTTAA